CATCATTATCGAAAAGAAAACCAACAAAAATCCTCCACAAATTATGTTTACGGTAATTTAACATTGGTCTGAACTAGGGAGCTAATTATAACTCAGGTCTGAAAAAGGGTTTTGATTGAAGGGTCATGTCATAAATTGAGTTTCAAATTTTTAGTCAGGTGATCAATAGGGTAGGGAATATCGCAGATTTTGGTCATAAATAGGGTAAGGGTTTTGGGAGGTGGGCTGCACATCACTACCTAATTTTTCTGGGAGTACCCCCGGGGAAGGTAACTCAGAATGTATTAAGCGAGTTAAACGGAAGACACCGTCTTCTATTTACTTACTCCTGGTTTCTTGGGCACTATTGTCGGCCGGCCATTTTTGCTGAAGTATTTAGAACCATAATGCATCACAGATTTATAATCATAAGGTGTTCCCATGGAGTCGATGACATTTGAGCCGTATTTTTTGAAATTGCCTTTGGCCGCTATTCAGTGAAAATAAACACACACACAGATTAGTAAGTATTTTACGATAACTGCATAAATTCTCGCGCACCCATTGGCTAATTTTTGTCATCAATAAGCGGAGAGACATATGAATATATCATTTTGTGATGCGTCAACAAGCAAGAGCGGACAATTTGACAGTTTGTTATCGTCAAAAACAAATTGAGGTGAGTTTTTCGTGCGTCTGTCCTGTTATTGACAATGAATTTCGTCATAACATTGTCAAAGTAGTCTGCGGATGCACTCGGTTATCGCCTTATGGATCCACAACTACTTTGACAATGTCATGACGAAATTCATGATCAATAACAGGACGACAGACGCATGAAAAACTGACGTCAATTTGTTAAGTTGTTATTGATATTGTTCATTTAGTTGAACGAGTCCACAGTTTTGGAAACACTTTGAATTATTCTTATTAGAAACTGAAAGGAAAGTACTAGCTAAACTTGAAAGAATCATTTGATTTTTTTTTTTAAAATGGATACGAACTTTTTAAAAAGAGTATATAGCTGCTATGCATGTATACATTACATGTATATCTATAATGTAAGTGAGGTATACATAAAGTCGATAGGGATAATTGGATTATACAATGGAGTCAGTGAAAATTAACAAAATCAGCATCTGTTTACTCACATTCTTTGATGTTTCCATATTTGATTGTCACATACGTGTCTCTGTCAGGTCGTGACTGCTCGTGAAATAATCCCAGGGCGTGTCCTGTGTGAAATAAAAAAGATTAAATTAAATTAAATTAAATTATCATCTCTGCGTAAGCAAAGTGGAAAATAATAATCCCTTACTTACTGAGCGGGCGGGCCGTACTAAGGAATATTGGCCCGAGGCTGAGTTCAGCGAGGTCTGTACTAAAACGACCGAGGACCAATATTCCCCACTGCGGCTCGAGTAAGTTGGGTAAGTTAGCAGTTTATTGCATGTCACTCCATGGAAGTCGCCGATTTTGAATTTGTCGGGCTCTCGGAAACGAAAAATTCGCGGCTTATGACCTTTTTATGGATACGGTTCGATCAGATTTACCTTTATATTGCCATAAAGTAACACCACTTATTACTGGAAAGTCACGTTTGCATGCGCGAAATAACTTTTACCAGGTCATACGGCGTGGGTACGGCTTACGCCAAGTGTTACATAGACTGACGTTTTCAATTCACCAAGAACAAGCTTCAACAGTTCAAGTTGAAGAAATCAAGATTGCTTTATTTGCTTAATACTATTATTTCTCGTTTGTTTTGTAGTTAGCTGTAAAGACATGAATGATCATCGCAGTTATTTACACAGCTGAAGCAGTTGTGCGGAATGAGGCCTGACCAACAACAACAAAAAATCCAGGATTGGACGGGAAAATCCACGCTTGTTTCGTAAGCTTTGCCTTTCACAGTGCAATCTCACCTATCTCGTGTACAACTGTTCCTGTATACCAGCACCCACCGGCCAGAGATAACCGTTGCTTCCCGCCTATTTTCCCAACATAAGACCAGCAACTGAAAAACAAGAATAATAATTTCAAATAATATAAGTGAAGGTCGTCAAAGCTGTGCTTACACAGATGTCAGTCATGCGTTTAGCTGGCTTTTTGAAATACGGCTTATCTTACAATATATCGAAACAGCTCTGTTCGAGATGGGCGTGTACAGTAAATAAGCTAAGCCGTCAATGTGGCCTATCGCTGAGCTGCTTTTAGATTGTAATCAGCTGGTGAAAATAATTTCTCGAGTTTAAACAAGACGCACTAAGCCCTCGATTGTCCTTGAGGCGCGAGTGGTTGTTATCCTACTTTATGTCTGCACTGTTTATCTCTACTATGCAATGTTTTTCATCGACATCACACCATGCAGGCTTGTTTGTCTTGCTTATCACTGAGAAAGTCACAAAACCTTAATTCAGTAGCGTCTTTGCAACTTCAAGAGCTGCTTTTAGACAAAATTTGAGAATTAAATCGTTAGAATTTGTATATTACTGGAATATTTAATGACAGCAAACGTAATTTCCTCGATTTGAGACTTTAAATTTTTGTAAACTTACCCGCCTCCCTTGAAGAAGGATACATAATCTCGTTCGTTTGTCCTCTGTTTAAACGTAATGCATGTATTCTTCTTATAATCAGCAAAAGCTGCATTAATTGCCGCCATCGCCTTCGACGCTGATGCTATGGAAATAAAAAAAAGAATGTCTGGTTAGTTTCAGCATGTAATGAAATAAAGCTTACAAGTGGCAGCGTGGCGGTGAGTTTAACCCCTTTACTTTACCACAAGATGGCAGAATTGTTATTGTTATTCCTAGATCCACTATTCAGCCACACGAGTAACCGAATGCTATCCTTTTGCCAGTTTGCATTAGTTTATTAGAAACTATAAGTAATTTCTGCAGCTTATCTCAGTAGTCAATCTCCAGTTATTTTTATATATATGGAGTGTTGTGAGCAACGTTTTAAGAAGGGAGCCGAGAAAAAAAAGTTACTTTTATTCCATTTTCCATCGCCCTTGAAGTGTGTATTGGGAACAAGAGAAGAGACACCAACACGTTAAAGGACAGACATTCCTGGAGAAGATAAGAGCAGATTGCAACTCCATTCTCAAGAAATCAGATGTTGGCTAAGCGAAGAGTCAGAACAACCGTCGCGGATATAACACTCACTTAAAAGTAGTTCATAAGTGTGCGAACTATCTACGTACACAAATCCTGCAAACGTGCTCCGATGTACACGCAAGCCATATCGTGTAGTCCTAATTAAACACTTTCAGAAGAGCAGTTTGAAATGTTACTTACAAAGTGAGCTATCAATCTCGTACACGATAACGCCATTAGGCCATCTTTTGTTTGTAATCGAGCCTTTCTGTAGACCTTGTATAACTGCTTTCTGTTGGGGAGTTAAGACAATGTCGCCTTCAAAGAGTTCTTTGCCTTGCCGTGATAAGCGCCTATTCTCTGCAAAAAGAAAGACGAATTGTAAATTAATTGATTCGTAAATATTTTTGTCTGGTCTCAGTGTGATTAAAATTAGTGAGCGGAGCCGCTGTAGGTCGCCCGCGAAAACGTTTCTCATACTGTTCCCTGCATTATATGATCGTGTTCTCCGATATCACTGTTACTGCCATACAATAGCGATGAAAGGAAAGTAACCGCCACTTGCATTTAACAAAACAAAACAAAACAAACAGTAACGTATATTTTGATCTACAAGTCTTTTCACTTACCCTCAGGTGAAGGGAGCAAGGACTGAGCAACTCCGATTACAAGACAGCAAAGCAAAATCACCGCTTTCATTTTTTCAACTGACCAACCGTTTTATCCGTAACTCTTCTCTTGGAACACCCGCTCGACTGTTGTCTCGATCTTAACGTTACTATCAGGCACAGTCAACTCTTACACACAGGCGCTTAGAATTCAGCAATAAGAAAGTTATGATAAACGCTTCTGCGATGGTTTTTTCCTAGGAGTGGGGACCAGCCCTGGTCCATGCATTAAGCGTAAATTGTTTAATATTTTTCGTTTTAAGTAGTTCTGCGACAGTTCCCTTCAGAATTACGTAACCTCGTTGTAAGCATGTAATTAGCGATTGATTGTACTCTTTCCCGCCTTTAACATTACGTAACAATCATCAAAGAATTCCCTTTTTCCGTTCAAATGCTGCCTTTGTGATTTTTAAAATCCTTTTAGCGTTGTTCCCCTGTGTATCACATAAGAATCTTTGATGCTTTTTTCTGCACCAGGAAAATCTTTGATTTCTACTTTACGTTGAAAGACTATTGAACAATTTTACATTCCTTAGCCACTTCTTAGGCGTAATTTCTCTCCAATATTTCTATTGTAGCATTTATTTGTGACTCAGTTGCAGATGATTGTCAACATTTTTGCCCCACCCTCAGTATATCAGTATATCGTTGCAATTCACACATTTTTCAAGTGTCATATCGACTCCTGGCCGCCTCGACCATTTCTCTGCCACAATAATATATCTCAGTCTTGAAATCTAAAGAAATAATCTTAGCGTCGGCTACCTATCCAGTAGTCGCCACCCGAAGGCTTTAATTTCACATTAACAATAACCTTTTTCTTACATTGTTTCCTTTAAAGAAAAAAAAATCCTAACGCGTAACATTAAAGTCTCGTTTTTCTGCTCTCTGAGTTTATTCAAATCGCTGCTGCATTTTTTCTGTGTTTGTCTATTAATTTATTAGCATGTTCGGGGGGTGGAGTACAGGCGGGTTGAAAAATCATGTCATTAGTTAATGAATACAGCTTCTCGTTTTGAGCCAAGAGATTAATTATGACTTAAATTACTTGACGTTCTTGCAGCATTTCAAACTTATACTCAGTTAAAACCGAGTTTAAGGAAGTGTATATTCATAAATCTGCAGGCTTCAAATATTTGTCAAATTGAACCCGGAGTCAAAAGGAACAGGGCGAATCCAAAATTTGCTTTGGAGGTTGATTATCTCAATACGCTGTGAAAATTATATGGTCAAGGGATACATCCAGATGAAATTATTAAATTATCTTTTATAGTCAGCAGCAAGCAGTAAGACCTACTTGATCAACCTGATAAATTTTGCTCCTTAACATTTTAGCCTGGATTGGAAAAGTATACGTAGTGGTACAGACGAGCTTTTAGTGTACTTAAAACAAAATAAATTTGCCTGCCTGCGGAAAGAAATTCGCAATCAGAACGAGAAAGATATCGATAACAAAGCCTAAAAAAAAAATGCGCTTGGTTGAGTGACCAAAACGTTATTCATGTGTCGGACATGACTAGAGTGTTTCAATGTAACTTACCTTCGGGGTGTGCGGAGAACACCCTCCCCAAAACAAAGCAACATAACACAATTAGAACCGTCATGTTGCTCCAACTGCAAGATGTGAATATCGATGGCCAGGGGCTCTCTTATAAGACCCGCTCAGCCTTTATCACATACAGCTGTCTCAATTTTCAATTCATTTGACAATGCATCGAGCGGTTGATAGAAAATTACCTACTAAGCGACTTGATCACCCTTTTTACTGTTTCTCAATGTTTAATCGCAATTAACACCGTAAATGACTCGCAGAAATTAACAGCGAACCACTTTGCCTGGTCTACTATTACTAATATCAGTTAATGCTATAGAA